AGTGATTTAAGTTTAAAATTACTTAAAATATAAAAAAATATAATATAAATGCATTTTATTTTTACAATAATGCCAAACCTTTAAAATGACTAGATTAACTTAAATAAATATCCATTGTTAGTATAAAATTGACGCCTTAGAAAAGCATGCGCCTCTGAAGCGTATGGTTATCTTTTACGTACGTTGTCATATGGTTATCTTTCTAGGGTTAATCATCGTGCGAAATCGTTGAAGAATTAGATTCGAAACTGTGACCAACTATCAACGTTCTTTAATAGGGGTAAATATTTTGGAACCAGAAATTCCAGTCTTTGTCACGAGCGATCGTAGCGAAATTTCAGTTCCTTAATAGACGTATGTAGAATTAGTGACGAATACGTACCTTCTATAATTATTAGAGTTCATTGATTATCATGGAACGCTTACATCACGAGCGCGGTATGCGCTGGGAAATCTTAATTAATCAAACACCGTGGTCTACGCTGGAATAAGCTCACAGGACTGAATCCATCTGTCTGTGCGCATTCCAAATGCAGCACGTATGTATGTGGAATCCTATCGAGCAGTTCATTGTTTCTTTGTCGATCTTTATTAATAATATTTGCGTCTTGAGAGAAAACGGTGTTAATTAGAACTCGGGAGACAGTTTATGGAATACAGATACATTTTACATCAGTTTATGAATACATACAGTTTCTGATTTTTGTTGTTAGTAGATTATTCGTTACGTTGCATTTAGTGAAACATAATTCTTTAAACAATATAATTTTTATTGATATGGTGATTATATCAGCATTACAAAATTCGATAATTTTGTGCGAAATCAATATAGGTTCACTTAATGTTTTTGTATCTGTATTTCTTTTAAATTTCTTATAGATGATTTAATTACTTTAATTTCTTATATTTCTTAGTTAATTTTTATTTTATTTAAATTTCTTAAACTTCTTAAATTTCTCACACATTTAATTATTTAGATTTCTTAAATAATCACATATTTGTGTGGTTGTAACTTATATTACACGACTTATTTTATTTTACACTCAGACTGGAACTTCATTGATAGTGTAATTAATTAAATGAATTAATTAATAGCCATAATGCCACAACTGCTAAAAGTTATTCGAAATGGAAAACATTTAAGATCACACAAAATCTCCTAAAATCCGCCAAAAATTTCTTATGTTCCACAGGCAGATACAAGAATTAAGAGAATGTCCATATAAGTTTCGTGCGGTGCTGTATGTTCGGTTCTCATTTTCCGGACGATTCCCGTATAATTTCGAGTTTGGCCATTGGTCGTTTCGACAGTTATACGGGGGATGTCAAAGTTGGACGGGGATGAGTTACTCGCAATAGGAATCGAGTTTTACGCTCGATGAGGCTTACGACGAAGGAAGGGGAGCTATACTGCAATTTCCTTAGACTGACAAAGGTATAGATCGAGACATTAGGGGCATTAGGTAGCGATTAAACAAAATTGTCGCCGTTGATAGTCCTACTCGCCGGCCTGGATGTTTGAACAGTTCCAGTGACGCGCGAATGAACAGCCACAGCCAACGAAATTGCTCGCGGCTACGGGGCGATACGTTTAAAGCGGAACATTTTAAATTGCCGTGAAACTTTGACAAATAGATCGAACCACGGACGACTGTCCGGAAATTAGCGGGAACAGGGGAACAGTTCCCCTCTTTTTTCCCTGTCGCAGAGAACCTCGCGAGAAACAGCTGAGAGACTATTTCTTCTGAGATTCTATTCAATATCTTTCCCCGGATGTCAATCTTTATTAACACTTCATGTTCCGCTGGTTTTTGTAAACAGTTGGGTATTATTCGAGTTGTTTCGAATAAATAGTTATCTAAGATAATTATCCGAATGAATACTTTTTAGACAAATGTTTTTATAGGAATAACAATTATTCGTTATTCGTCATAAATTATTCGAATAGCATTGCAAAATTATTCGAACAATAATGCGAATAATTGTTGATTGTTTTCGCTTTTAATAATATTTATTTATTTATTAGTAATATTTATAAACTCTAATTCAAAGTGACACGATTTCCTTGATAGTCGAACTATAATTGTGGTCAAAAGTTTATCGATGATACTGTGTAATTTATAT